TAGACACAGCAGGCAAACCTGTAGCAAGCTGCAAGGGGGGAAAGAAGAAGACAAAGAGAAAAAGAGAGCAGAGAAAGTGTGGACTGCTGGAAGAACTGAAGAGAACTAGTGAAAGAAAAGTGAAATGGTGCTCAAAGGTGACCCTGCACATTTTGAGCATGTTTGGCTCAACCTACTGCTGTGAAGCAGGATTCTCTACCATGAACATAATCAAAAATAAATATTGCTCACGAATGAGCGCCTTGATATGTGCTTGATAATGGCTTTGTTGCCATTCAAACCCAGGTTTAAAAACATTACAGGGCAATGTAAAATTTCCTTCTCTGATTAACCGATAAAGAAAAAAATAAATAAACGGTCAGTTCAGGTGTTTTATAAAATATCAGGAAATTGTTTTTCTCTACTTAAAAAAACACTTTCGATTTTTAGTTTTTTTTATTTTTTTAACAATTCAATATATAACATGGATGCATAAAAACCTAATTTTATTTCAGATTTAAATTCTGTTTAAAGTAACAGATTATATTTAAAAATGTCTTCGGACGTTTACTGGCTGTTGAATTTCTTTATTCGGACGCTTATTTTTAATTGGTTACCCCTGCTTTAGAGTCTCTAGGCTCCAGTAAGCGACAAATCGATTACTAAACTAGTTGATGATTATTTCAATAATCGATTAATCAGGATTAATCCGATTAATTGTTTTAGCCCTGGTGCAGACTAATGGAAAAAGAAAATTCAACCCTTAGTAACATTTTCAACATTCAAATTTTCTATGTCTGATCACTGAACAGGTGCCTTCATCTACAGTACAGCATTCAACTCTCTGCATTCATGCAGCATCACATGGAGCATCAGCTTTGTTACTGCTGAGGTGTTCAGAAAGCCCAGAATGCATTGCTGTGTCTGGCGCATCTCATCTTAATTATGAAAATAGCCTATAGATTACCCTCAGGTGAGTTTGTTATCCAATGAAAACACAGTAATAATGTGGCAATTCAAACAAGTATCTGGTAATGTGAGCAGTGAAAGCAGCATGTGACTCTAGGACTCCTGATTTCCAAAAACATCATTCTAATCTAATCCCATTATTTATATACACCAAGAGTCAGCCATTTTTGTTTTTCAAGTTCCGATATCATCCCAGGTTCAGAAGTGGATTAACACTTTTCTTAACAATTCTCTCAAAGCTACAGCTACTCATGCTGCCTGTAAACATTTTTCTAACTGAATGTTTTCCTTCCACTCGACTTCCTAACAGCCAGCTGCCATAACATCAACCAGATGCCAGACAACTTTCAAAGCATAAAATGGTATGTGCTATATAGAATAACATGTTTGTATTCTCTGTTTTTAATGGTATTATTACTATTGGTATTATAACATTTTTACCTTCATATAAATTTTATTGTTGTTGTTGTAAACCTGAGTCATCAATATAATCGGTAATAAACACTTGGAATATAGCACTGGGTGTATCAATCCATATAATAAGAGTTTCACTGTCTGAACTGAAGCACTAAAATAAATGAACTCTGCGATTACATTTGGGTTTTATTGAGACACCTGAGTTAATGTTTATGCAGGAGTCTGTCGTGTCAATGTTTCAAAATTATGCATGCGATTCGATGCGAGGAATGAAAATAGTGAAAGATTTTACTTATTTTTGAGTTTTGTCACAAAGAAAATCTGTTTAAGTAAATATTATTAATAATATCCACCTGCAGAAGATGCATGCTGTTGCTACAATGTACCAAGCTGTTCTGACACCATGTTTCTCTCATAGACATTACAGCCACACAATGAGACATAAAGGAAGCCTCTATCAAACTTTGAGGGGAGAAATACTGAAAATATAAAACACAAAATCATTTGCATAAATTTTTTTTCTAATAGCTTTTATCTAAGGTTAAAACTATGATAAAGCTAACCCATTACATAGACTACAGGCATGTCTTGAAGATATAAAAACCTGGATGACTTTTAACTTTCTGCTCCTGAATGCAGACAAAACAGAAGTTATAGTCTTTAAAAAGTCCAGAGTCTTTAAAAAAGAAGCTGATTAGTCAGTTACATCATTTGGATGGGATTAAATTGATCTCGGATAAAAAGTCTGTGTGTTATTTTTGATCAGGACCTGTCATTTAAATCCCATACCAAAGAGGTTTCTAGAATTTCCTTCTTTCATCTGCGCAATATTGCAAAATGTGAAATATCCTGTCCAGGGGTGACGCTGAGAAACTAGTCCATGCATTTGTTTACTTTAAGGTTGGACTAGTTCTGATGAAAATTAAAAGGGGCGATCATATCTCCTATCCTTGCTTCTCTTCATTGGCTTCCTGAATCCAGAAAATAATTTAAAATCCTCCTTCTCACATATAAAGCCATAAATGGCCAGGCTCCATCTTATATCAGAGATCTGATTGTTCCTTATGTTCCTAACAGAGCACTTCGCTCTCAATCTGCAGGTTTACTAGTTGTTCCCAGAAATTTTAAAAGTAGAATGGGCTCCTCTCCTGTGGAACCAACTACCAGTTTTAGTCCGTGAGGCAGACACCCTGTCTACATTTAAAGGTAGTTTTAAAACTTTCCGTTTTTAAAAAAGCTTATAGTTAGAGTGGCACAGGTTATCCTGAGCTATCTATATAGTTATGCTGCTATGGACTTAAATTGCTGGAGGACAGAGGGACTGCTTTTTCATCATTCTATCTCTATTCTCCCATTCTGCAGTATCTTTTAGTTCAATCTCTAAGGTGCTGCTGTCTCTACTTTATCTCATAGTAGCTTCACCTCTTCTGTTCCTGTTTGGCTGTGACATCACCTTGGAGAGAAATATCAGCTGTGATGCTGCCTTCAAAAACTTTGTATATAGATGTTCGAGATCGGCCTGTTTTTCAATGTAGTCCTGTTTCTCTGACTGGCTGGATGTGCTCTCTTCTTCCTCTGACATGGGAGCTAGCTCAGAGATTGTCTGCCTGGCTGTGTGTTTCCTGGATGGGGCCGCCCTTTACAGTTGCCTTTTGTATCTTTAATTCTGTCTCCCTGAACTCCAGTCGGCCTCAGCAGATGGCCGCTCACACTGATTCTGCTGGAGATTTCTTCCTGTTAAAAGGGAGTTTTTCCTCTCCACTGTCGCTACAAGCATGCTTAGTGTGAGGGATTGCCTGCGAGTCAATGAGTCGATGCAATCAACTGGTTTTCCTTTGAAAATTTGAAACAATCTGACTGCATTATTTGGTGATCTGTAAAGTGCCTTGAGATGATGTGTGCTGTGAATTGGCGCTATAGAAATAAACTGAATTAAATTGAATCTGTGAAGTGTGAGGGATTGCCTTTGAGTCAATGCAATCAACGGGGTTTCCTTATATAGAAAACTTTGAATAAATTTGACGGATGATCTGGTGAACTGTAAAGTCCCTTGAGATGACATGTGTTGTGAATTGGCGCTATATAAATAGAAAACACAAGCTGCTTTAGACTTACACAAAAAAGGAGACGAACAGGATTTACCTAGCTCAATTTTACTATGGCTAAAAAGAAGGGTGTCTAGGTATCTAATATCTGTTTCCTCCCTTTAGTCAATCAACAAAGAACTATTCCGTCCGAGTACAATACAAAGGGCAATAAAGTAACATATTACACGTTTCTGTCAGAATTTAAGTTGCTTAAAATACAAAAAGCCAACTGTATCCTTTAAGTATTAAACCAAATAATCCTTCTTTGGAAAGTCTTAAGGAAAATGATGCCGACATAATAAGGTAGAAATTGCTGCTCCTTGATGTGCATAAATTAGTCCACAGGTGTCCTGGCTCTTTTCCTACATTTTAAAAAGATAGAATTTTAAAAAGCACTGGATTATGTTAATCATATGAAAGCACTCAGTATGTGCCTGTGCGTGCATTAGTGTTTTCATAAAGACAGGAACTGAGATGCAAAAAAAAAACAGACAAGTTTAGATTAACATAAAATTAACCAAGTAACAAACATGTCTCTTAAATGTCTTATATTCTGTCTATTCTTTTCATCCTACACTTAATTAGTACCATGTCGCTAAAGGTAAGAGCAGAGGTCCTCATCCAAAATGCAGTAGTGTAACATAAACCCTCGATTATTCGGTTCATTTCTATCAAAAAAGGGGGGTAAAAAAAAAATCATAGGCTTGTCTTGTGCATGTTATAGAATAGTAGAAATTGATTTTAAGTCATGCTGACAGCCTCTGTGTTTATATGGGTGGGTGGGTGTGTGTGTGTGCGTGCGTGAGCAACTCACCACAACCCCGAACTGCTCAGGCTCTGACAAGTTCGAGTACTCGTTTTTATATTTGGCCAACGCGTTCAGCTGCTCCTGCTCTGGGAGGTGCTTTACAAGGTTCTGCAAACAGTGTGAAAAAGACAAGATGGAAGCAGACACAAAAACAATACCAGGCATTTTTTAAATTCAATTAACGGACAAGATACTTTACACATTGATTCCTGTTTAACATTTGAACTTAGCTTCAAATTGAAGGCATTTCACTAACTACAGGGTTGCTCTCCATGAGTTTAAAGGGCTAATTAGATGCCCCAATAAAGCTAAAGAGCTGTTGTACCAAAAACATGCTCTACATACATAACGTCATATTTTGGTTGCAAGACAACGGCAGAGAAGTTAGTACTGCTGATGTTAAAAGTGGGAAAAATGCCATTCATGTATTCATACTGTGGATACACCACAGTTTTCTATGAATAAATCCTTTTATGTCGCAGGCAACATTTGCAGTCTTTTGTGGAGAAATAGTTCAGGTGCCTGGAGTCAAAACAAATGAAGATATGTCTATTAATGAAGCTTCTTTCATTGATGCACCATAATTGCATTTGCCTTAATGACTATTAATTGAACGAATGAATTATTCAATGTGTACATCTATATTCCAGGTTTGTTTTTATTTGTTTCAACTCAGTCTACACACTAGACAGCAACATAATCTAAAGCCTTCAGAGGCATCCATTAACCTCACTGTTTGGTGCAAAAATAGTCAGCCAAAAAGCCAATTAAAAAGTTAATTCAGTAAACTGTCTTTTAATCTGTTTCGCAGAGAGTTGTTAGTCTTGTTTTTTTTTTTCTTTTTATGTATCCCATATGCTGATGCCTGAGTTTTGTAATTATCTTATATTAACAACCTTTTCTGGCTGGCATAAATTAAAAGAAATCCAATTAAGAAAAAGAATGCTCAAAATTCATTTAAATCAGTATCCCAGAGTAGCAACTTTATCCAAGATGCCATGTAAAGACAGTCAAATATTTAGTCAATATAGTGATAAATTTGAGCTGTAATCATTCAATGTCAAATACAAGAACAAAGGGAGGGATTTCTAAGTGCATAATAATATACAGAGTCTAGTACCTAAAGGAATCTATATTCTGCTGCTCCTCTCACAGGCTGCTAATCTGATTTAGCAGCCAACTTGATACTTTCAGGCTTTAGAGGGGTCCCCTCCTCTCTCTCTAGCTGAGGTAGCTTTGCATGTGTGCTAAAACAAGGGGCAGTTTTAGGACAGATTCTCTTTATTCATACTTCTCCCCCTTAGAAAGATAAGTTAAGCATTTTCTAATGGTTCTCCTATCCTTTTTGTGATTTTTATTAATCTCCTTCATTCACTAAAAACTTTGATGGCATGACTAATCAGCATTAAACAGCATTCAGGCAACATTGAAGGCCCGGTGGCGCCAGTGTGCGGCAGCCTCGCTTCGGTCAGGGAGCCCCAGGACAGCTGTGGCTACAATGTAGCTCACCGCCATCAGTGTGTGAGTGTGTGGGTGAATGGGGGAATGACAGAATGTAGTGCAAAGCGCTTTGGTCAAGTCTCCTGACTAGGGCTGGGTATTTTCGCCTAAATCTATTTGATTCATACAGTTCTAAATCGATTACTGCGATTTGATCTGTTTTTACAACAATGAAAGTGGTTCAACTGTGTTTCAAAATACTCATGTATTTTATTTTTTCCTGTCATATTAAACACAAAGTGCAAACTTGTAAATCGGACAGTTTAAACTTGAGATGTGAACAAAACTGTCTCAAAAGTGCAAACTTGTTTGTGAAAAGTGAAAAACTGAAGGTTCACTCGAGCAAGCAGACGTGACCCAGCGGGGACATAGCAGACATGCATGAGCTGCATTATCTTCACTGCACAACCTATATTTGCAGCATTGTCTGCAACAACTACAGGGTGTTTGCTGTTCAGCCCCCATTTGTTAATGTCTTCAGTCAACCTATTGGCTATATTTGCAGTTGTCTGGCTTGAAGTAATCTTGAGTGCATCTTTCCTGCTCATTTAAATGTGAACGTCACGCACATAACTATAAAACTAATCGATCTCATTCCCTAGACATCGATTTTGCAAAAATGTGAAGGAATCGATTCAAAATCGATTAAATCTATTTTTTTACCCAGCCCTACTCCTGACTTGACCAAAGTGCTATATAAGTACAGGCCATTTACCATTTACCAACATTTACCTGCAGCTGAATCCCAGAAAGGTCTCAATCAGCCGATTCTCAAACAAATCAGAGACAAAACCTGCGTATTTTAACATTGGATGACCGTCAAGTTAAAAATATTCTGGTGAATTAGAATTAGCTGGATGTACATTTTGGAAACTTTTTTTTTTTACTTTAATGAGCAATGGGATTCTGACCGTCCATATAAATCTGCCCTTAGAGCTTCAAACCCCCACTTATAGTCTAAGATCAGTTTCTAGAAACAAAAACCAACAAACTAATGTTATTAAAAAATATTTAAAATAACTGTATAGTGTATGTAATAACACACAAAGCATGCCCTTTATTTACTTTTATGGAAATACTAAAATATTCAGGATTGTTCCTAAACTGTGCTACATTACAGAAGAACAACTTCAACTTCCCACAGCTTTTAACCAGCCATCGGGTCAAAGGTCAAACAGGGCAAAAGTTATAACCAAAGCATCAGGATAATTTGAAGGCAAACACAAGAAGCCCTTTGCCACTGTGGAGGATGCAGGATACTAACATGTAATTTAAATACTCAGGCCTCTGAATGAATATTATTCCTCCAGATAACACTTCGATAAGCAAACATACAGAAACAACGAGAAAGTGTCAAAATGTTTTCAGGACGCAAAAAAAGAATATCAAGAAAAAGCTCCTCTTAAAAGGTATAAGGCACTGAAGTTTATAAGGCACACTGTTGTTAGATAAAATGAAAGGCTTTTAAGTACCTTTAAGGGCTTATAATACGGTAAATATAGTAAATGGTTCTATAAGTTCTTTGTGCCTTAGGTGTCTTTGACCATTTCATTTTGTGCCATACAAAATTCAAATTTAAATTGACTGTATCAAAGCATACTGTCATAATGAGTGACCAAAATGCAAAACTACCTTCCTGTTTCTGTTTTCCATGTGTCTATACAAATAAATATCTTTTAAATCCACAAATGTTGGATTACCATCCCTGATGCATGGCTTTTGTGCAGCGTGTATAAAAATAGAAGAACAAAAAACAACAAACAGATGGAGAACCAGGTGCAAAACCTTGACCCAGAACTGGGAACCAAGATGCGGATCTGGTGACCTATTCTGGCATGTAATTAGGCTTCTAAAATAAGAAGGAAATAAACCGATTAGGTGAAGGAGAGAAAATAACGGGAGATGAAATGAACTGGTGTTAATGGGCGTTATACAGATGACAAGAAAACTTTATGTCTCAACATAAAACAAGAAAGCAGAACACAAAAAGCAGCGACAGGTGAAACAGCCTTGGTAAACACCCACAATATATTTCTTTGTTTATAATTTACAGTCTCCTTCTCTGACCGAACAGTCACCAATGAGGGTGTATTTCATATCTGGAGATGTCCAATGTTTCAGCCTCGAGCTATGCTCTGTTTTAAGGTTGCCAACTAATGAAGACGACAGACAGGAGTTGGGGCATGAACCTATGTAGTTGTGTAGGAGCAGAGCTGCACAAGAAATCCAATTCCAGCCTCAGGTGTGTAGATGCATATTGTCAGATGAGTTACTTTCCTATATTCTTTCCATCTCAGTTGAAAATGACCCGATTTACTGTAGGCGGGTCAGCAAACATTTACACTCGTACTGCAGGAAAAAAAGCCATAGCTTCAAAAATCTTTAAAAACTTTATGGAAATCTCATCTTTACCTGGATCATTGGTTCAGTGAGCTGCTCCTCATCCACTTCCACTATCATGCGGCGGATTTCCTGATAAGGCATGCGGTAGGAACCCAAGAAAATTGCTAGAGAGAGAAAAAGAAATAAGGAAACAAATGGTTTTGCACATATTGGAATGATTCACAACGGTGCATTTTCAGTGAAGAAAAATGAATAAATGAATTAGAAAAAGTTACAAATAATAGGGGAAGAAAAAAAAAGTAAAAAATAGACTGACAGAAAACAAAAGAGCCAAAGAACACATTAAAGAACACATTAAGTAAATGAAGTTGGAACCAAAGAAAAAACCAATTAAAGCTGCATCGATGTATGAGTCCATCAGACAAAACTATTTTCAAATGTCTAATTTTAAAAAGTATAAATAGCTAAGATCCTACATCAAATGTGTGATCAGGGATAAGATGGGTAATGGCTTGTCAGGGTAAGTCATTATTGTGTTTGGGGAAAATTATAAAAAAGAAAATATGAACACACAAGGCAGAGGATTTACTACAAAGATATAAAAATAAATATGATAGCTTGTCTCCATCTTAATGGAGTGTAAAGAAATCCATAGTTTGACTTCAAATGATATATAGCTGAACCGATACTCACTCTCCCAAACAAAATATGAGTATAGATTGCCCGTTATCTGCTTCCAATTAGACATATTAAACAACATTTCACTTTTTTATCATACAATAGGACATGGATCACTTTTTACTCCCTTGTTTTACTGCTAGCTTAATTTTTACTGAAAAACCTAACAATCTCAATAAGGTTGTGGTTTTATATCAAATGAGCCTTAAAGCAGGGAAGAAAATAGTACTTCACAACTTATTAGTGTTAATTTAACTGAAATGTAAAAGTGAAGCACAATTGAAATCAATCAAAAAGAAAATAACTCCCATACATATTACCAAGCTCATTCAGAGCGTTTAAAACCTTTCCCTCCTATGGTGAAGTGCATACTGTAAACCTGCCCACTCTCCCCAGCTTTTTACCCCACTTGTTTCTGCTCTGCAGTTTCTACTGCTTGATTTATCGCTGCTACTGGGCTGATTAGTCCCATTTTCTTTTAATGCATGAAACAAAGGTCAGAGCTCCCCTCCATATAAGCCAATGAGGTGCAAAGATCTGACGGTGCTTAAGAGATCAGCAGGATTCTCATTAATGCCGGGTGCCTTTTTAAAACGATCATTTAAGAGCTAGGCATACATGTGCAAATGCATTAGTGTGTACATAACGGGGGAGAAAGAACCAGAGAGAAAGAGAGAAAGATCTATGGTATCATGCGCCGTAGCTTTTCCTTTTTTCTTCCTCTTAATGGATCCTTAACATCGTTAATTAGCTCAGTGTGAGGAGATGAGTCACAAGTATCAACGACCAGGTTCACAGTGAGTGTCATCTTGTAATAACTGCTATGGCAACAAGCAAAGGCACAACAAAGAAGGCACAAGTTGGTGAGCACCTACAGTATGCTTATAGGATCTGTTCAGGTATATAGTTTGGAAAGTTTGTCATATAATGGTCTTCAAAAGAACACGCTACAGATTCAATCTGGCTTTTTACTTTTTGAAATTGATCTGTTTCGTTTTTAATTAACTTGTAATTTTACAATCGATGAAGCAAATTAGCGCCAGGCACGAGCCAAATACTTGCAAGTTTATAAGGTGCATGTAAGGAACCAGAATGAAAGTTTTGCAATTTAAGGAGAAGAGGAGCCCGACAGGCGGCTAGACTAATGAAGAGACAATCTCAGATGAAGAAGACCTGATTGGCAACTTTTTATTACCATTCTGGTCCAAAGCAGTTTAAAAAAAAAAATTGTGAAACTAAAAGGGAGTTTTATAATGAGAAAATGAAAAGAACTGACCTTTACATGTCTGGTAAATTTTTGATGACAACAACCAATTAATGTTTAGTTCCCGCTGGCAGCAGTGGGCGCTGAACATTTTACTATATTACTAATCATTTCTTTTGCAACTTTGTTTTTTTCTTCCAATCTTTTTGAAGCCATTTTAACTTCAAATTATTCTATTTAATTTCCCATAATTTACTAGAAGAAAAAGTGCTAACTTGACTTCGTTAAATCAAAGTCGCAGAGTTATTCTATCTGGTAAAGAGTCAAAATCTCTTATATTTTATCAGATTCATAACGTTGATTATACACACACTTCAAAACTATTATTAGGAATTCTGAGGAAATTACCATATAAAAAATCTTAATCACCAAGAGAAAAAAAATCCACAATGGATACAAACTGATCTATGTACTATAATTAAGTGGAAAAACAAGCAAGCCAAATAACAATATGTTGGTAGAAAATTAGGATACAAATTGATGACAGCGCAAATTGACTTGGAGCTTTTTTGGGGTTTTGCAAATTAGATAAAAAAAAAAACACTATTAAAGTCAGTTTAAAACAATTTGGTTTGTTTTATTTCTCTTTTTCTTTTCAAACCTAGCCACAGGTTGTGCAAGTAGAGCATGTTATTGTTCACTGCAATTCAGAAAAAGAATCGCTTGGCTCAAAGATTTGAGTTGAGATTTTTTTCAACTGAGACTTTAAGATTTGTGTAGCCGAAAGCTTTTTTCTTTAATTCAACCTCTCATAATTTTATCTACTATATCAATTTCCACTTGCATAAATACAATATTCGTTAAGACATGAAGAGAGCAATTGGCAGGAGGCAACAAAACATTTCCCAGAATCCTCCAGGGCCTTAAGAATAACAGCACAAAACTAAGAACTAAAGCATGTTTATTTGCACTTTTACAAGTTATGACTCGTGTTTATTTTTGTAGTTTCAGTTTAGCGCTGATTGCTCATAAGATTTTTATATCTATAGGATTTTCTATTCCTTTATTCTAATGCTTTTTAAAAGAATGGGTATCGCATTTTTTCTAAAGTCATCCATCATGATAATAAAACTATTCAAAAGTACAAGAGGAAATGTAAGAGAAAGGGTTAAGACCTCTCCAAATGCCTCCCACACTTGAGGAAGAACTTTTGAAGGCTACTATAAATGTAAATCGAGATAGAAGTGGCCTAAATAGGAAAAGGATACTTACAGAGATTTTGTGCAATCTTGGGATCGAGCACCTTGAGCTCTTTAATCCTCTTCTTTATGGATTTCTTATCCTCCAGATCATCTTCCTCCTTTTTAGCTGATAAAGACAAAAACACAGATCTGTTACAAAAGGAAAGACAAACGTAATGGTAGACAAGAAAACCTGATACTAGAGAGCGTATTGGTTGTCGCCAAAATATCCAGAATCTAAAAAGACAAAAGAAAAAGACATGAGGTGTTTTAACTGTAGGCTCTGTTGCAATATGGAATCAATTTAGAAAATGTCTGAGAATATAACCTTTGAAAAAAAAAAATAATAATAAAAAATGAAAAATATATCTACTGTCCCACAACTGTGTTATTCAAAAATAGGTTAAAGAATCATAAAGAAAGGGGATCAAAGAAGAATGATGGAATAAGAGTTATTGAAACACTGCTGTAATAAAATACAAAAGCTTTTTATCTATAAGTTAGATAATGTTGATAAAGGGTGTAATGATGGTGAGTTGCTGCTGGTTCTACTGAAAGAAAAGACACACAACAGGACAAAAATGTCTAAAATCTAAACAAGTAACCCACACTTTGCCATTTATTCTAACATGTCTATACTTATAGACTGTATTTGTATAAAGCTGATTCATTTCAAAGGGAAGTGTGTTTGTCTTGTTCAGTTCCCCATCAGGACTGTTTCCGTGAACTGGAATTAAATCTTCAAAATGGTAGAGTGTCAGTAGACAGAAATTAAGAGTTGATACGCATCCGGGATTCAAAGTAGGTTTTCGCTTTGAAACATCTCTTTTTTTTTTCTTTTTTTTTTCTCATACTTAAAAAGAATACAGTTGTAGAATTTGTATTTACTGTGTTCTTTGACTGTTTGATTTGATATTTGGAAAACATTGTTCACCCGGCTGCATCCAAAGCACTGCTCTTTGGAAATCCCCCATCTTCAACGGATATTTCTCCCACTTGCATCTCATATTTACAGAGTTTATCAGATTGGAAATAGGTAGCTATTAGAACGTCAGCTGAGTTTTTTCAGTACCAGTCATGTTAATATTCAGCTTGACATTTCAAGTGAGTAATTCAGTTAAGTGCAGAGCCAACTATGTCGCAAAGATTCATATACTGATCCTTTTGGTTTGATCCACCTTCTTTTTTCCCCACTTTAGCTTCATGAGAAACCTTTATTTTCCCTAAATAACAGAGCTTAGCCAAAGGTGGGATTCATTACTGTTTTGCTGGGGAGTCACTTTTTAAGGATGTGCTACAGAGCTTGTATTGCACATTTAGTACTGCAAACATAAACAAAGTGTTCAGGTTAAGACAAAGACTGTTTATCTTGTAGATGTTTTCAGAGTTGTAAAAATCTTTGAAATACCCTGTCCAGCAAAACCTGAGGTCCACATAAAGCGTGTTTTATTAGTGAACGTCTTTAACCTTTGACATCAGCCCACATTTACCTCAGCATCAAGCAGAGTCTTCTTACCCATGAGATGAAGTTAAATTCAGGGTCTATTTAATGTTTAATGAAGGAAGAATTTTCTAAAGTGGACATATCTGAATGCTACGTATAAGCTTCAAAAATATTAAAAAACAATTGTGTCTCTGTGGCAAACAACTTATAGGAGAATGTCATTTATCTCCCCAAATAAATGCGGACATAGCCATCTCAGAATACATTTGTGGCATCAACTGAAAGACAAAACTATTGATGGACACTCAGGCACTCGGCTGATATTACTTTTTGGACGTGCGTTGCAGCACATCAATCAACTGAAGTAACCTTTGATTGCAGCCTTGTATAGTAGCTCCTTCATATGATGCGTCCATCACTTCGACTGCCGTCTTCTTTTCCCTCCCAACGATATACCTCCTAAAGCTTTAATAATGCTTTGGACAGCGCCTTAGGAACATTCATCAATTTATTTATAGTGGTTTAGGATATGAGAAGCTCCTCACTGCATATGTTGGGGTTAAATAGGTTGTGAATACTTTTCCAGAAAAGAGGGGCCCTTAGACATTTGCTAAATTAAATCAGGTTACTTTTTTTTTTTCTTTTGGCCAGGTAGTGTCAATTCAGATATGAGTGCACACACAGAAGACAAAAAAAAAAAATTATACCCTCTCAAGTCACATTCAATGAGAGGATCTCCTCGTTTCTTTTAATTATATAAGACAGCAGATTAAAAGAACAAAATGTGCAACCCTTGGAGTATGCCGGGTAATTGTCTAGCGCTGTAATTATTGCGAGTGTGTGCTTAGAAGAGAGGAGAGGATCGCAGGGAATAAAAGTGGGGAACAGTGTCTAAGAACACAGGGGTTAATCCGCAGGAAAAGGTATGCCTGCTGTTCCATGCGGTCTTGTTCTCCTTTCAGGGATCCTGTAGCCAATTAAAAAGTGAAGAGGTATACTTGGAGCTCCTGAATGATAGAACCGAGCAGCTTGTGCACAAACAAGCACACCTAAGACACAGCTCACCATGGTCAACAAACACAAACAGCCACACACTGAGCTATTCCTCCGACTTACGTGGCTCCTCCGTGTCTACATTCTCCTCACAGTCTTTGTGTATGCGGGGAAAGAGAGAAGCACAGGCAAGACAATAAAAAGAAGATTGCAACATAAAGAGAAGAGGAAAAAGAATGAAGAGATAAAAATGCATCCTAAGAATGCAACATGAAACACTAGAGTAGTCTACAGTAAGAAGACAGCCAATCTGGCAAATGAACTTGAAATGAAATGAGTTGAAAGAGATCATTAGCAAAGAGGTACAGGAAATGCTAGGAAATAGGAAGGTAGTTAAAAAGCTGAATTAGAATCGTATATCTAAAGGGTAGCGGTGTTTGAACACCATCACATATTCATAATTCAAAGTTTAACCTAATAGAGGACGATCATCTAGAGGTGGATCATCTAAATAAGTGATCTTCCTAATTGTCAACCATTCTGGTGATATGTTTACGTAAGGCCGTCCTACGTGCTTGTCCTATAAGCTATCTTTTTCTGTGCATGCGCACTTTCAGGCGTATATGTGTGGTGAGCTATGGTTTCACACGGTCATTAAAGCTCACCTTACTCACTGCGGTTCTTTGAAAATGGCCGGGGGTCATAAGAGAGAAAATGTGTCTAAGAAGTGCCTGAGAAGAAGAGAAAGGCCTCAGAAGAGGCAGATATATCGCAGAATGCTTTGTGTGGAGAGTTCTCCTTGCAAAGCATTATGGGGGAGCAACAGCGATGACTAATAAAGATGGAGCAGGCACTGCGCAGTGGAGGAGGAGTTATGTGACCAACAGGTAGCAAAAAGCAGTGATCATCTGTCTGAACGATCAGTTAACTGAGTTCACTATAAAGTTCATGATATAGTCCCCGCTCTATATAGTGATTGAGGGATTTAGGGGTTAGGGCAGATGGTCTGACATGGTAAGCTTGTATGAGCTATGAGAACAGCAACTTTAAAACAGAGCGTGCACGAGGAGAAAAGGGATTGTGCCTTGCTCTCCACAAATACTTTTAACTGAGGTTTGGTCAAAAATTGAACTGAGCTAATAGATATCAGCATACTACCAATAGTATTTAACAATCCCAAGCTTGTAGATGTCTCATCTTTTAGCTTTTGAAATCTTGCTTACCCAGAGTCCATTGTTGCAGAATTTTATTGGAACCTTTGTGCGAAAAAGTGCTTCCTACACTTCCATGCATGGATCTGCATGCTAGCTGCAAATCTATCTTTCTGTGTGGCGACAAACCCACTTTAAGGGTTTTAATGCAAACTAGAGGGCTAAATTCAGCACTTTAATGGCTTATTCTTGTCAAGTATAGTGTGATTAAAATTGAGGCATCCCCCTCTTCAAACCTGGACATTGCTTTGGGAGCGAGAAACAATCTTTTGGTTCCCGTAAACTATGTAGCAGACTTTAATCAAACATGAATGGCACTAAGCTTCACTTCTATACCCCTGAAAAAAATCAAACTAAACAAACTTCCTTAAAGAAAAAAGCAACACAGAGGAACCTACTTAGGGTAACTAAACAGAGAGGCTGCTAGTCAAGACTAGTCTGAAGGAGCGTCACTCAGAGGAGAACCAAGTTCAGATTCTTTGTTTTTATATGCTACAATGTATGAAGACTAATCTCCAGTGTAGAACCATCATAATCCAAAAATTATTAAGAAAATGCAAAAACAACCTAAAATCTGCTGAAAGTCCTTTAATTGCCACTTGCATCCACACCATCTGCTCTGACAGAGCTTGATCTGATTTTTAAAAGACATATATTCCCTTCAAATAATTATCAAAGTAAACAGCTTCTACCAGTGTTGTAGTCAAGACTAGGGCTGAACGATTTTGCCAAAGATCTAAATTGTGATTATATCTAACCAAAGCTACCATTGCAATTTTCATTTCACTTTTCCTTTGTACTAAGCTCAAGCTTGTAGATGTTTCACCTCAGGCTTTCAGTTTTTGAAAGCTTGCTTGCCCAGAGTCCACCGTTATAGGACTTTACCGAAACCATTGTGTGAAAATACGTTTACTTCTACATGCAGGCATAGATCTAAATGTTATCTGCAACTCTCTCTAAATATCTGTGTGGCGACAAACCCACTAGAAGCATTTAATCACCACCTAAAAGGCTGGAGGGAGAAATTTAGTGTCTTACTCTTGTTAAATATGTTGTGATTAAAACTTAGTGTCTGTGATTTGAAAATAGAAGGGTTTTGTTTTGTTTTTTATTGCGATTATATTGCAAATGCAATTAATTGCCCAGCCCTAGTCAAGACCACTGAGAATAGTTGAGACCAAGGCTAGTAATACACATTTCATGTCCCAATGAAATTTAATTTACACATCAGGTTCCCGGAAGATCTTTGTTTGCCAAATCAGAACAGAGGCCAAAGAGCGACATGTAGTTAAAGCAAACTTAAGCTGGACCTGCATTTGGAGACATGTTCCTCAGGTTAGAGTTTCAGTACTGTTCTTTATGGTAGTGATGGAGCTGCCATCTTACCCTCAGTGGAGAAGAACATTTACAGGCTCCATATTTCTCTTTCTCTAACAGTAGCACACCATGTTTTTTTTATTTTTATTTTTTTCATTGTCA